AACAGGGCCACAGGAACAGACCTCCCAGCCGTCTGCCCCAGACATTTTAAAGAATTTGAAGCAAGCTTTAGAAATAAGCTGGGAGGGGGGGGGGTCACGTGACTGTTCTCCTGGACAGGGCCACAAGAACAAGCCTTCCAACCATCTGCCCCAGACCTCTTTTTGGGACTTCAAAACCTTCGCAACCTAGCCCTGGTCTGCGTTGAGAGTCTTTTCAAAGCTTGCTTCAAATTCTTTAACGGCTGCTTTCGAGGACTTTCCAGAAATAGCGAAGGCTTCAGAGGTCCCAAAATATAGGTCTGGGGCAGATGGCTGGGAGGTCTGTTCCTGTGGCCTGTTTAGGAGAACAGTCGTCTGAGCCCCCCCTTTCCCAACCTATTTCCAAGGCCTGAGCTTGTAGCGATTCTAAGGACGTCTGTGCCGGTGCCAGCAAGCCAAAAAGGATTCTCAATGCAGACTAGGGCTATGTCGCGAAGGAGTTGGAAGGTCCCAAAAATAGGTCTGGAGCAGATGGCTGGAAGGTCAGTTCCTGTGGCCATCTGTGGCTCCGTGTAGGAGAACAGTCATCTGACTCCCCCATTCCCAGTTTATTTCCAAAGCTTGCTTCAAATTCTTTAATGGCTGCTTTAGAGGACTTTCCAGGGATCGCGAAGGCTTCAGAGGTCCCAAAAATAGGTCTTGGGCAGATGGCTGGGAAGTCTGTTCCTGTGGCCCTGTCTAGGAGAACAGTCATCTGACCACCCCCCGTTCCCAGCTTATTTCCAAAACCTGTTTCAGATTCAATGGCTGCTTTAGAGGATTTTCAAAAGATTGCGAAGGTTTCAAAAGTTTCAAAAAGTAGGTCTGGGGCAGATGGTTGGGAAGTTTGCTCCTGTGGCCCGGTCTAGGAGAACACTCATCCCCTTCCCAACTTACTTCCAAAGCCTGAACTTCTAGTGATTGTAAAAGATTGCTTACTGGCAGCCTTCGGGTTTAGGGTACCCTAAAACCTACCTAACCTTTGAACCCTAAACCTGCGCGCCCGTACCGGAGCATCATCGGCACAATTGGGACGCCATTTTTTGGTGGTTTCAGCAAAACTTCAGAGAACAAGTCCCTCCAAGTAGCAAAAACATGATTTTTTGGACCCATTCTGGTGCTAATTAAGCCAAAATGGGGTCGCAATTGTGCTGATGATGCTCCTGCACGAAGCGCGCGTGTGCATCCTACCAGGCTGTATGCAGATATTGTGGGTTCGCCTTCACCACGGACAGGATTTCACTTTTGCATCTCAGCTTTGCATGAGCCGAAACAAGGACGACAGTTTACGCGCTCTGCGTCATTGGCGGTGTGCACTTGCTGCTCTTGACTATGTTATTCCATGCTCATAATGTTCATGTCACAAACTTTCACTTGGACATTCAACCCTACATGTCGACACCCCCCAGCATGTTTTTTTCCGGAAATAGGTCTAGACCCCCCCAACAACACCCCCCCACGCGACTAGTCCCTACCACAACCAG